AAACTTTCTGATGAGATAACCTTTTTTTCTAAAATCCATCATTCTTAATTTAATTAAGAATTACTTCAAGCTATAAAGAAAAACCAATCTGTTCATTTTATTATTTTCTTATACCAGCGGTTAAATTATGTGTAGCACCTTACAATAGTGCAGTAAGCCTTAAATGCTATTGTAGAGCCGTAAGTGCTATTGTAGGATCAGCTGTAATTTCATCGACATAAATGATGAAGATTGTCATAGAAAGGGTTCTATTAGATTAACGTGATCAGCTAGATTAACTAGGGACTGCATTAGCTTGATAGAATCAGTTCAGTGAGCGTCTTTGATTGGTAGGTTAGACTTGACACACAAAATTTTTGAATTCGCGAGATTAACTTAGGTCATTATCAAGTGTGAGGTAAATAAAATTTGGGGTCATATAATGATATAATTGATAGTGATCTACCTTTGGACAAATGTAATCGGACTATATTAACTACGAGTTACATTTTTCTACTGAACCTAAAGCCCACTAAAGAAAAATCGGTTTTCTCGTTTATCTACTAGAGGGTAGTGGAACTCGATAAAATTAGAATTTAAAATATATATTAAACTATGGTAGTTTTTTTTATTTTGTTCACATTCTTCCCTTAAAACTAATCTATGTTTGTTTAATCTTTAAGAAAGTTATCTAAAACGATTTAAAAAATCTTTCACTCAAACATAATTTAAATTAAAAAAAAAATCACTAAAAAACAAACAAATATATATTCACTAAAATGTTTCCTCAGCATGCAAAAAAAAAAAGAAAAATCCTCACAAAATATATTAATTAAACATAATATTTCCTAAAAAAAAAACAAAAGAAATGTTAATTAAATTCTCAAATTATTCAGCCGATATATTTCTTTAACGCAAGGGGCTTTTTTTATGCATAAGTCTCCTACCAACTACCTTTATTATTCTAGGTTCAGGTGTTACATTTTTTTCATCAATAAGCTCATTCCTTTAATATGTATTATAAGTACAATTATATTTAATGTTTATAAGTAAATTACCCACAACCCTTTAAACTCATTTCCTAATTGTAACTTTATTTTGACTCTAATGTCATCAATTTTGACAATTTTCTTTTCAAACTTTTTTTTTCTTCTGAAATTTGTTTTTATAGCCACTGGTTCACGGTTGACTTGTTTTTTATCCATCTGCTTTTTTTTTTTTTGCACCGTCGGTCTCGGTAGTGTTGACTTTTTTATTTTAGTTTTTCTTTATAGTTTCGAAAAAAGATTGCGTTTCGTCCGCCGTTGACCGTTGGTAGTAATATTATTGTGGTTGACGGTAAAATTATTGTAAACACAATAATGTTATTGTCAACCACATCAATATTATTTTTATGACTTTTTTTAATTATGTTTGATTTGTTGACCTGTCAACGTAATAATTTTACTGTATACTATTGTAATAATACTGTAGTTGAAAGTCATATTACTGTCAATCTTACTAATTTTATTGTCTACTATTGTTATATTACTATGGTTGACAGTAAAATTCCTATAAACACAAAAATATTATCGTCAACCACATTAATATTACTATCTATTATTATAATATTACTGTGTTTGAGAGTAATATTACTGTTGTTACAGTAATATTTCTATTGACGACAGTATTGTCAACCCCAACAAGCTTAAATATTTTGGCTTTTTTATTATGTTTGCCTTTGTTGACCGGTCGGCATAATATTATTGTATTACACGATAATTTATTATGTAACATAGTGGTTTCGTTGTATTAATATTACTGTGCTATACATTAATTATTGCAATATAATATTATTGTGTTAAACAATAATATAGTTTATATTACTCTCGACCACGGACTGGTTTACATGGGCCAAATAATTTTCTAGAAAAAAAGAAATCAAAAAACTTTCAAAGAATAAAAATGAAAAATCAATGCCGCCGGCAACAGGAAAAAAAAATCAACGTTAGAGACCACCCGCGATTGTCAAAATTGGAGTCAAAATTAGGTTAAGGTTCAAAATTGAATAATTTGTGAAATTTGGGGTCAAATTGAGGTTAAATTAGGTTAAAGGAATGAAATTGGAGCATATATAAACCTGAGGGAGTATTTTAGTCATTTACACACTTCTGGAGTTTGTGTGATTTTTTTGTCAATTTTTTTTTGGTGGATCTAAACATGAATAAGTAGCCCATGAGTTTATATATAGCTAATTGTCATTTAATTAATACGGCTTATGAGATCCTACACTTGATGAAATAATACATCATGTAGTTTTAAACCGTAGATCTACATAAATAACTACGCACTAAGCATATATACACACTGATGTATGTTTTATTATGCTTAGATCAATGGCGTAAAAACATATTATGTATGTCACCTCGTGTAAGTTCTACGAAACCCCTTAAAACAAAATAGAAATAAACCTCGAAATACATCCAAACGTTCTATAATAATCTCTAAATTTATATAGCTCAAAGATGATTTAGGAACCATTTTGTGAGTTGCAGCCAAATGGAGGGGCATCGTGGCTAGAGCAACTGCTCAATCCTTAGCTGTCATCTGTTTTCATTCTCTCTCTCTCTCTATCTCTCTTTCTCTCTCTCTCTCGGCCGTTTGTGGGACCCATGTGAATAATATATATATATACAGTAAAATAATGACAATTTACAAACCATTTTCCGTTAAAAAGCAACAGTTCTGTTTGTTTGGTGGCATGGGGGCAATCTGTCATTCGTACACGTGAAAAGACTCCGTCTCCGCTGTCATCATCACCCCCCTCATTTGCCTTCTTAATCCCATGCCACGCGACATCATGCACCCACCTTTACGCGTCCATTAGCTTGCAAATACACATATAAACCTCTGTAAATTAATGGTATTAGGAAAATTCTATTAATTAATCTAATGAAATATTAAATTATCAAATTCATAATTTAGCACATTGTGACCTAGTCGACAGGAATAAATTACTATTTAAATTATGTTATTAATTTATCGAGGTTCTATAGCATATTGTCGTTACTATTGTTTCAAGACAAAATCTTACTAATGGTCCATCATTTAAATATTTAGTTTTATTTCAAGTCTTTTTTTTCTTCATAATCCATCTCTATAATTCATCGAAAAAAATATTCCATCAGTAATAATTTTGTTATTTAAATATTTAGTTTTATTTCGAGTCTTTTTTCTTCATAATCCATCTCTATAATTCATCAAAAAATAAATATTCCATCAGTACTAATTTTCTTACCTTTAACAAAATTCATTTAAAAAAATGGATGGAATATTCTGTTATTAGAATTATTTTTTGATAAATTATGGAGTGAAATAATAAACATTAAAAAAATTAATCTAAAACTAATAGTTACAATCAAGAAAAATAATTTACAAAAAGATCATTTATAAAATAAATATGTACTGTTTTAAAAAAATGTTGCTTTGGATTAAAATAGAAAGAATTATTTGGATTTTTTTTTTTTTGCATATGACTTCCACTTAGAAATATATTTAATGACTATAATATATCATCTACATGTATTCTCGATTTGAATTTGTTTGTATTTTGATTATATTATGTTAATATTTAAATAAGAAATCAATTATATATATATATATATTTCTAATATTGACTAATTTGTTTATAATTTACTGAACAATAATTATGAGAATATAATATTTGATCCAACTAAAAAAAATGTTATAAACATAATTTTACATTGAGAGACTACAATGAGATGAATTATAAAGATGAATGATGAAGACAATTAAAACATGAATGATCAAAGCAAGACTTAATATTAAGATGGTGGGGGTTAGTGAGATTTGAACTTTTTTTTTTTATTAAGCTCATCATTTTCTTTTTTCTTTCTTTTAATTAACTAGTATGGTTCAATTGAGCCAAGCTCTACCGAAAGCTCAATGACTCGGTTCAATTTTATTAGAGTCAAACTTAATTAACTCTGTGAGTTGTAACGAGTTTAACCATTTTATTAAGCTCTAAAAAGATATGTGTCGAGTTTGAGCTCACTCGTCTCAACCATAAGTATGCCCAACTAATTAAATAATACAAATATTTATTAAATTTATTATTTGACATCTTTATTAATATTTATTTGTATAAAAATAATGCTAGTTCATAAAAAAACATTAGCATAGTAAATGAATATTTGAACTTGCACTCATCCATTATTGTCAAACTTATATTAAAGTACATTAAAGATTCACAAGATTGTGTACATAATAAACATTTATATTTTTCATTGATTTTGATCATTTCTCTTATTTGCTATGGCATTAGAATTTTTTTAAATATTCATATAGCACATTTATAGTTAGTTTTATATTCATATAACAAATTGTGATAAAACTAACTATAAATGTGCTATATGAATATTTTGAAAAATTCTAATGCTATTGCAAATGTTGTATATGAATATAAAACTAACTATAAATTATAAAAGCATTAGCACAATTTTGTTTTTAAATAAGTCATAATTTAAAATACTTAAGAATATATACTATTTTATGGAATGGACTAGACGCATGAAATATATATATATATATATATATATATATATATATTTCAGTGAAATTAGTACATCCATAACCAGAGGCCCTACCTAAAAGTACGAAAAATATATAAAAAGAAATTGTAAAATATATATAACCTAAGAAAAATCTAAAAACTAATAAAGAAAACATGTATGAAAATTAACAAAGGTGGAAAAGAATAATATGCAAAATCTAAACATAAAAACCATATGCGAAGTAAACAAAAACATGAGAAACTAGGAAGCATAAAAATCAATAAAAACCTGTTTAAAATATAAAAAATAATATAAAATTCTGAAAACATACATTGAATTAAACAATATGAAACTATTATTTTTGGGACAGAATGTGCAGAGCTTTTGTATAATAATAATAATAATAATAATAAAAAGGAAACTTTATGTATAATAATAGATAGGCCTTGCAACACTTGATTCCGCCCCCAGGCATTTATGAAAAAGAAAAAAAATAAATAAAAAAAGAAGAGAGAGAAAGTGTGAAGAGAGAGAGAGACTTTTGGGTTGCTGGTGGTGTGATTTCCAGCAATGGATTGTCATGCTATTTGCATTACTACTTTTCTTCCCTCATCATTATTATTATTTTTATTATTATTATTATTATTGCTGCTACCTCTTTCTCTCCCTAACTACCTTTTCTTCTTCTTCTTCTTCTTCCCCTCCGAACTCCATTTTCACCCAGTTCCCAAATTTCCCTTTCCTAATAAATTACTTCACTCCGGTGCTTCTAAGTTTGACTTTCCATTGGCCAAATTGTGATGATGATGGCGTTATATACTGATTGAATGAATTAATGAATGGTGAGTGAGTTCATATTATTTGATGATTTATGATTCTGCATTATCGCTTCTTTCCTGATGTAATTAGATTTTTTAATTTTTTTACATTTGGAAAAAAGAATTTCAGATTTGGAATGTGAGTGAGCATGGCCCAGTTCTGTTAGATGTCTGAATTCGGAATATCTGTTCAATCATTTCAGTTACTGATTAGGAAAATAATCTCCACTTTTTTGTTTGTGCTGTAATTCAATCATCTTAGTTTCTAATATGATTGAATTACATACATATATGGAAACATTTTGATTGCTTGGTTCCTTTAATCATGATTTTTTATTTGATTTGATTTGACCTGAAATAAATCCTCTGAATTCCTCTTCTGGATCTTTGGTCTAATCCATTTGCTAAATCGCCTGTGGCTGAGAAGGGGCATTGGCCTTTTGCTAGTTAATGTACAAGTTCAAAAAGGATTTTCGGAAAAAGTGATTTTGTGATTGTCGTCTTTGGATTAATGAACCTTGTATGTCGTATATTTAGATGTTGTAATTCAGTACCATATTTATAAGCTCGTTTATATAGATTCTTGATTCTCTCTGCAGGATGTGATTGGCTAGCAGATTTTTTATTAGTAAGTCGAGACGGAGCATTGAATGTTAGGGAATAATATGTAGACCGACTTATGAGTGAAGTGCAGCAGCATTAAGTTCGTGTTGTGCATGGGAAGCGTGTTCCACCTCCTTGACATTAACGAGGAAATCATGGCCAGGAAATCTGTTACACACAAGAGACATGACGGCGGTAATTGTCACAAACGAATCACCGTTTATCTTGTTTTTCTCACATGTTCTGTGTTTGTTCTTGTCGAAACAATTAGTAAACACACTTATTAATGGTATTAAGATTTTTTTTTTTTTTCCCGGATACTTTTCAGGCCTGGAGGCTCCTCGAAATAGCTTGGAACTATCAATGGAGACATCATACGGCTTATACTCCGCGAGGGATAATATACTGGTACCAATTATTTCCATGTTACGAGTCGACTATCTGTGCATTTTCATCGACTAAGATCAACTTATAAGTTTGGACTTGTTCTTAAGTTTCTTTTTATTGCTTCTTAATTATTTTTTTTCACCGACTGTAAATAATGTTTCACATGTTTGCTGTATATATTCAGTATGCTCCTCACATGTCAAAGGAGTCATCTGGTAAGGACTACTATTCGACCGACGCTCCTATAAAGAAGTTAATCAGTGAAGAGATCTCCAAACGACCAAGTAGCAGACAAAGCTCACCAAGTGTAATTGCTCGTCTTATGGGAGTCGATATGTTACCTTTCGATTCAAAACCAGCGCCACCTCAACCGGTTGATAATAATATAAAGAAAGAACATCGAACGGGGAAGTTGACGATGGATAAGAAGGAAGTATCGAAAACGGGTTCAGTTGATGATGTCATCTCCTCCCTTGGTCGGCATTATGAAGACATATATCCCGACCAATTAGACATTCATATGAAGCTGGACAAACCGAAACCTAGAGAACATCCTCAAGAGCAGGAACTGCAGAAGTTCAAGAAGGAGTTTGAAGCATGGCAAGCAGCACGGTTCAACCAATGCTCAAATGTCGTGAAATTTAGCAATGCTCCGGCACAAATAATTGCCCAAGAGGACCTCAACAGAGAAAAGATGCACCTCTATTTCAACTCCAAGAAAACCGCAAACAGTGACAGGCTGAATAAACCTAACGATCCAGCAAAACTAGTTGTTGACCCACTCTCGAAAAAGAAAAACTTGTCTCACTCGAATAGAATTTCAAGAACAGATTCTACGCACAAGAAACCTAGTAACGACATTGTTTCTTCTCCGACAAAGATTGTGATTTTAAGGCCTGGGCCCGATAGGATGGATATTAACGAGGATATGTGGAGCAGTACTCCCAGCACTTCAGAAGGGAGAGCTACTAGTATAGAAGATTTTCTCCAAGAGGTTAAGGAAAGGCTGAAATCTGAGCTGCAAGGTAATTCTTCTACAACCATAAGAGGAGGAGGTATCGAGACACCTTATCGGGAAAAACCGAGAAAAATTGCTCAGTCTATAGCGCAGCAAGTGAGAGACAGTGTCACAACAGAACTTGGTATGAATTTAGTTCGCTCCGAGTCTACAAGATCCTACAGAAGTGAAACTCAGTTCAATGGAACAACAGGCTCGTCTCCCGAGTTCATTAACAGAGATACAAGGAGATTCTTGACAGAGAGATTGAGGAATGTTATGACAGTAGAAACCCATCAAGAATTTCCAACGCTTGTCCGTAACAGTTCACGATTTTCCGTGTCGGATTACGGACAATCGAGAGATAAAATGAGCTACCATGAGAGTTTGACAAATGACTTAGAAAAGCAAAGCAGGTCTTTCAGAGGGGAGACTGATTTATCTCCTATGAACCTTGTTCGATCTTTGTCTGCTCCAGTATCTGGAACTTCTTTTGGAAAGCTTCTCTTGGAGGATCGGAATATACTAACTGGGGCCCACATCAGGAGGAAGCATGAGGTAGTTGAGAAAGCACCGCCGAATATTAACATTAAAAAACAGAAAAAGGAGAAATTCAATATAAGGGAGAAGGTTTCGAGTTTTAGATACAGCTTGACACTGAGAGGGAGGCTATTCCAAAGGAGAGTTAAGTCGGTTTCGGGATCCGATCAAAATAGAAACAGCCTTGTGAATGATATCAGAAGTGGGCCCACGGTCATGATGAGTTTTTTTGAAACAAATGTAAGGACCCTTTGATATTATTATATTCACTTGTTCAAAGATAGTGAATACAATGAAAATTAAAAATAAATGTTTTTTTTTGTAGGAGAATTCAACGGAAGTGCCGCCAAGCCCTGCATCTGTGTGCAGCAGTGTTCATGAAGAATTCTGGAGGACTTCTGATTATTTAAGCCCCATTTCATCGGCAGGTGGACATCAACTGGATGATAGTGACATGTCGCATGTTTTCAGAGAAATTAATTCTAATTTGAATGGTTAGTGTTTGGAAGTTTCCGTTGTTCGAGTTTTTCCACAAAAAAAATTCACAGTTTCGTTTCTTATACTTAAAATAGTAAGTGGCCAATCATCTAGCACCACTAATGTAGATTTTTGGTTCGATATTCATCGTGCGATTACCAATAAGTAACAGTCAACTGGTGAATGAAGAATCAATCCTTTTGAAACCCCATAAAGTTTTAAAGATCGGAATTATCCTTTATTTTTCTAAATCGTATTGTTAAATTCAATCTCTTATTTCATTCTAACAACTCAAAACAAACAATTTAAGTATACTACAAATGCTATTCGTCTTTACTGTCTTACCATAAAATTATACATGTTTTTTTCCCTTTGCTGTCCTTAGTGTTTTGTCACATCAGTGAAATTAATCCTCTTCATTTATATATTTATCACAGAGCTGCGCAGGAAATTAAATCAATTTGAAGGAGCTGCCGTAGAGGAACCTACAAAAGATCAGCAGCCGAGTGAAGTTGAACTAGACATAGAAGATGAAGCTGAAGCCTACATTCAGGATTTGCTCGTGGCTGCTGGTTTTTACGACGGCTCTTTCAGTCGATCTCTATCTAAGTGGGACCCACTTGGCAAGCCTATTAGCGCTCAGGTCTTCGAAGAAGTTGAAGAGACTCATAAACAAACCACCAAGGACGACGAAATGTGCAGAAAAGACGAGGGAGAACAAGTAAGTCACAAGATAGTGGTTGATTTATTAAACGAACTACTTCCAGCTATACTTAGAGAACCAACGAACATGTCGACGTATATGGAAAAGGCTGCTATTAATGGCGGTAACGTGTTTAAGCCTCCTTACGGAAGGAAGTTACTCTCACGTGTATGGAGTGCCGTTGGAGTGTACGTACACCCTCCACAAGATAGGTCTTATTATTCTCTCGATAGTATGTTGGCTCGAAATTTGAAGTCCGACCAATGGTTAGGCTCGTTGGACGATGATGTCACTGCTCTGTGTAGAGATATCGAATGCCTCATCATTGGAGATATGATTGATGAAATGATCAAGGATATTGATAAATAAAGTTTATTGACAAAGGATTAAGGTAACGAATTGAGGATTTGTGTGTAATTAGTATGGCAGAGATTTACTTACGCATGTTTTGTGTGTTTAAACTAAGGTTGTCTGTATAGAATGTTGATAGGAAGATTATTTATAGTGAATGCTTTTGCTCCGTTGTAGTTGTTTATTATTAGGTACATTGTCGTTCGTTGTTTCGTTTTGTGTAAGGGGAGGATTTTCTGTCTTTGTTTGGGTGTATTTGTTGTCGAATGAAATGGAATTTCGTACAACAAAGTTAACGGTGAAGAATTCGATTTCGTCAGAGTTTTGGTTAATATGCTCTTATTAGTGTGTGTGTGTGGTAGTAGTGTGTGTTGTGTTGTGATAAAAAGAGAACATATGTAACAATTCATAGATCTGGGAACAAATGAAGTCACATTGTCAAACCAAACTCCCTTTATGCCTAAAATATAAAAGGGTAAATTACACACACCCCCCTGAGGTAAGCTTAAATAACTGTAAGGTCCCTGTGGTATCGATAATTACACTTAGCCCCCTGAAACGTAGTCAGAAACTCTAATGGGATAATGAATTGGATACGTTATTCCGATAGGGTTCTAACGGACTATTGGTTTCAGAAAGTGGTGAAGAGAACAAAGAACCCGGATTAAGGGGATCGCAACGATTGCAGGGGAGCGTGCGCTGCCGTCGCTAAAGCATCTTTCAACAAATTTCC